TCTAAGATATTAGTTCTTTTTTCTATTTCGAGTCTTCTTGTTCTTCGTTTCCATGCCCATTCAGCTGGGTCAAATTCGGGGTTTTGTATGCCTGTTGCAGGGCTGTAGATTCTGTGCTTATCATTTTCCACCACCCTTACCTTCTGTACCGTGCTCTTTTGGAGCGCTATTGCTTAATAAGATTGTGGTAGCGCCTGGGTCCTCGATTGCGTACATGTCACAGATGAGCCAGTTGTCCCTGGGACCTTCCCTTGAGCGTAGTAGGTAGGCTGTGCTTGGGGAGGTATCCTTTGTGTTTGTTAACCATTCCCCAGGTGACCATTTGAAGGGGCTTTTCAAGAGGGTTAACCAATTGTCCGGGATTGAGTTTCGGATGTTATGGAGGTTGTCCTGCACATTATGGCATCCTTTCAAGGATTGCCTCAGTTCTCCCACTGTTTTCCATCTTCCTTCCGATTGAAACCAGAGATGCTTGATTTGCCATATTCCATATTCTCACGACTTCCACTTAAGATCTACTGCTGTGAGTGCCCACGGTTTGCCCTGGGTTCCTAAGATCCACTGGTTGCCGAATATGGGTTGACGAAGAACTTCTTTCTTGGACTTTGGCTCCCTTACCTTTGCTGGGAATATTTCCCTCCAGGTTATTAAAAGGTTTCTCCAAAAATCCCGGGTGTGCCCCTCTTCTGGCTCGTCTGCCCCAAGATTTCTGTTGGTGGATTCCATGGTCCACGATTTTGACATTAACCAAACCAGGACTCTCATATTACTGGGCGTTTTGACCTTTGTGAGCTGGTTAATTCTTCGGAGGCCCAGATCGACCCAGGGGAGGTTATTATTTGTTAAAACTTTCAAAATCCATTTAGTTTGTAGCGCTTTTATTTGGATCTCTGGGTCGAGCACTCCGAGGCCTCCTCTTGCTTTCGGTTGGGTGACATACGTCCAAGCCACTTTGGAAATGAAATGGGTTTTAGAAGGGTCCCCTATCCACTGATATGCAGTTGCCCTCCTCCACAATTGCAATCTCGCCTGTTTGATAGGTGTCCAAATGGTCAAGGCATACCATAGCATTGAGAAGATAGAGGCGTTTAGGATTAGAGCTCTCCCGAAGATTGCAGTATAGACTCTGGACCAGCTGCCCAATTTGGCTAACATTTTGCTCATGATTGTCGGGGTCATTGAGTGGTTCGGGCCTGATTTGGAGACTTGGATTCCCAAGAATCTCAGGGGCTTGTTGCCTTTAGCCCAACTCATTCCCTCTGGTGTATTTTGTGGGGTATTGACTGGAGGATCTCGGAAGCCCTTATCAGGACAGTCAAGTCATCCTCGAAGAGGATTGTGGTTGGGACATATGGTGAGTGTTGGTTATCCTCCAATAGTCTTTCTATTGAGGGGTCTTTCCTTAGGAAGAACGCAATGGCTTCCATGATGAACAGGAAAATTAGAGTTGCTAATGGGTCCCCTTGGCGTACGGAACGTGACATTCGGTAAGGTTGTGATATGTGGCCATTGACTGAGAGGCGGTTAACGGAGACCCAAAATTTCAGCGTTTTTTTAATGCTGTTTATAAGAAAACCAGAAGCCCTTTTTAACCAAAAATTGCATCATTCCATAGAGTGCACACCATATTAACAAACCATTAGAAAAAAACCGAAAAAATAAAACAAGAACAGGGTGAAACAGTAAGGCAAAAGTGCACTCGAATGACATTTTGGATTCAGCGAATTTTTAGAATTTTCAGCGTTTTTGGAAATGGTCTTATGAGAGGAAATTCCAATGCTCCAAATGAGACCAAATTTGGTACACAACAACCTTGAAGTAAGACAAAAACAGGCAAAAAAAAAAAACCCAAAAAAACATAAAATTTCACCCCCAAAGCCTAATTTCAGCTTTGGACCTGTTACCCAGGAGCTGAAACTGGGGGGTCCCCGTTAACCACGTGTGTTTTTCCATGCTTTGCTGTAGGAAGTTCCAATTCACTTGATCGTAGGCTTTCTCGAAATCGAAGAACAAGATGGGGCTTTCATTTTTTTGTCTTGTATGTATCTGACAGATTTTGATAGGGTCACTAAATTATTTAATATGAACCTTCTAAAAGGGCCTTTACGAATCAGACCCCGGATGTATGCCCAACAGCGAGGAGCCCTGTCGGCCAGAACTTATATTCACGAGCAGCAACCCAACGGACAAAGTTCCTAAGGCAGATGTCGCATCCATAATGAAGTGAAAAGTCATTTTGGAAGGTCACAAACAGGTCCTGAACGAACAGGTATTGAACACAATTTTCAAGACTGCGTTAGGGTCATGTCTCCTCGATGAAAAGACATGTCTGTTCTACAATGAGTCAAAGGCTACAGTCCCAGTCCAGTCATAATCCTGGGCAGGAGTCCCAGGCACACTTGAAGCTGAACGCAGGCCACGACAGACCTGTCCAACACTATAAAGGACTGGCCAGCCTCTCATTTGACAGATCCTCACTTCGCATGAGAGTGTGGAAGTGTCGTGGTGCTCTAGATGTGTGTGAGCTGCGCTAGGCTGAAGAGCAGCGCTATGTGGGAAGGAAGAGAGTGCTGGCTAGAGGGAAGGCAGCCATAGTTGCGCCAGCGCTAGTTAGTATGTTAGTAGGGATAGTCAGTAGGAGATATCAGAGAGTAGTATTCAGAGTAGATCCTCGTGTGATAGGGAGTGTGGCATGCAAGATGAGTGAGGGTAGACCAGGAGAGAGAGAAGAAGGCAGATGAGAGAGGGGGAAGTGTGAGCTATGGGGACACTTACCTGTTGAGCGTTGTTGTTGTTGATGAGCGCCAGGCTTGGGACTCATGTTGATCGAAGAAGACTTGTAACTCTGTTCGGCGCCATACACTTTGAACTCACGATGTTCTCTCTCTAATTCTGGGTTTGATAATTGAGTTGAGCTTCCTGGTTCTCATTCATCTTCTATTGGGCTTTGTGTGAGATATCGCAATTTGTCAAATTTGTGAATATGCATGTGATCTGATGCACTCCAGCAAGTGATGAACAATCGAACTCCTTGCAAATTTGGTATCGGAGCAGATCTTGTTACTCTCACTGGATGCGCTGGCACGATCAAGGCCGGTGAGAAGGATAAGTTGGCTTGAGTATGGTTGGCGAGAGATGAAGTAAGAGATGAAGTAAGAGGAGTTAGATTGGGATAGAGGGGAAAGTTGGCCGAAGAAGACGCGGCGAAGGAGGAGAAGACTTACTTGTGGTTGGAGCGAGTGGAGCGATTGGAGCGAACGTGGAGTCTTCATCAACGACAACAAAGAAGAGAAGAACATCCTGCCCCACTTACCTCGATTGATTGCAAATATGTGTATTGTGTATCTCTTCCCCCTCCTTTCTGGTGGTCGTTGCTGCTGTCTGGAAGAAACCTGTGGCCTGGTCTGATCTAACAGATAGGATTAGAGAGTCAACATCTGGTCTTCGTGTTATCCATCTAGTTTGTCAATAGGTAAGGAAGGAAGTTGTCAGAGAACTGTGTACTGCCACGTCGGAGTGTAAGTGGCCGAGAATAAGGAAAACCGTGATCATTTGGATTTGTTTTTGAAGTAAGTTTTGAGTATCTCCAAGCTCTCTTCTCTAATGAAGTGACCAGACAAACAATTGAAGGCATAGATTAGCTAAGAAACTAAACAGGCAGCAAAAAAAAACAAAAAAAAAACAAAGAAGAGTTTCTACTTTGTATATTGATTAGGAAAACGTTATATATCCTCTACATTATCAAATTTCGTTGTTCTGAAGCAGCGACATCCAGACTTTGAAAAAGAGTTACAGATCCCATCCACTTAAGTAAACTTGGTGGTCCGGTTGAGGTCTCCCCTGTGCTGATCGCCACCATGGATGACTATCCCATGTACGGGATGTTGGCTCTATCTGTTCTGTTGGGGCCATTATTCCGTTTCTTCTTTCCTCTCGGCTTCGGGAGAGTGTGTTCTTCCCGCATGATGATGAGATCCGGAACAGCAAAGCCCAGACTCTCTGCGGCAGAGCAGGCAGAAGTAAACTGTCGCTTAGCCAAGAAAAAGAAAGAAAAGAACAGAAGAAGAAACAAAAAGAAGAAGAATTGAGGAAGAAAATTCAAATAGAAGAAGAAATAATTAAAAAGGAGCTGCAAGAAAAGAATTAAAAAGGAGCTGCAAGAAAAGATGGAGAAAGATTGCAGAAAGAATTAAAGACTATAGAAGAAGAAGATGAGCCTGCAGATGATACAGACAGACTCGTCAGACGTCGGCTTGAAAGGGGCGAAAGCAGTCAGTCTGGTGGGTTAAATATACAGGTCAGTCCCTTAAACTGGTATAACCAGTACAATTATTCTAGTGACAGGATTGAAGAGACAGAGGAAAAAAGGGACACGTTTGTCTCAAAATTGGCATCAATTGAGGATAAAAGGGAAAAGGAACTCTTGCTAGAAGAAAAACGAGTAGAACTGCACAACAAAATGTTAGCTGCAAAGCGTTAAGAGCTCGAAGAGAGGAAAAGACTGCATGCAGAGGGTGAAAGGTTGCAAAGAGAATTACAGGCCCAGAAGGAAAAACAAACAGCAACCGAAGAACAACTTGTCGTCTTAACAGCAGTTGTCCTCCATACAAAACAAGAGTTGGTGGCGATGAACAAGACCTTGCAAAAAGTTGAAGCCCATCAGTATGAATTTGAGGGAGTATGGAATACCTTCTTACAAAGGTCTGCAGCAAAAGTTGACCAATATGTACAAGCATACATTGTAAAACTAGATGAGCAGATTAGCAAGACTTTGAACCCCGCCGTAATTGAGAAATTGGTTAGTAGTGGTGGAGGAGATGGAGGAGATGGAAAAGGTGATGGAGACGGAGATAAGAAGAAGAAGGGCGTGCTGCAAGAAGACGCAGGGGAAGTCAGAAAAATAAAGATAAAGGCGCCGTAGACATACACTGGCAAAAAGGAAGAAAGTGTTTTACATTGGATTGCAGCGGTTGAGTCCTATGTCTGTGGGCGGCGCATACCGTATTGGGACAGAGTCCTGATGGCCAGTTCGTGTATGGCTGGAGATGCAATGCGTTTTGCAATCTCCCTGCAAAAGGAAGCTAATTGTCCGTCTATGGTAGAGTATTCCCAGCAGACCCGCATTGAAGATTTCTTTAAAGTTGTCCGGGAATGGTTTGAAGATAAGAACTTAGCCCGGAGAACTGAAATGTTAATCTTGAATATCGCGGATAGGAAATGGAAAAGTGTTTCTGCACTTAAATCTACCATGGACGAACTTTTGCAATGTGCTGAACATGGACTCACCCCGACGCAGATTCTTAGTAACTTTGCTAGAGCACTACCCGATCCTCTCTGCACTCAATTATATCCCCGTACCAAAGAAGAGGGGATGGCTTATGAGAAGTTCAGCAAGATCGCATTAGATCATGCTGGTGTCTTGGCCGAAGCCAATTGCTGCCATTATTGGAAAGATCTGCAAGCGGGAAAGAAGTGGCGAAACTGCACCATCTCACGGTATATACCTGGGAAAGACAACCTCCTTCTGACCTTTGAAGGAGGTGTCGAAATTCTTTCCTACGACCAGATAGATTATGGTCTGGAGGAAAAACCCAACAACACGGTAGTTCACGAGGGGGACTACGCGGCCGTTGCAGCCCGCGGGGGAGGGCAACAGGGAAGAGGCCGTGGCAGAGGAAGAGGATGCCACGGTCATGGAGGAAGAGGACCCGACACCCAGAGGGGTGGTGGTGAAGGAATCTACTACGTGGGAGGAAGGGGCAACGGTCCCTCGCAAGGTGGCCGAGGTTCCAACTCCACATGGGGTAGAGGAAGAGGCACGTGGTATGGGAACTGGGACAAACCATATCCACCCCATCCTGGCTTGCCCGAAGGCAAACCTTGGGGAAAGCTAGGGATCACAAAAAAAGTTTGGCAATATAGAAAAGTCGTCGATCAGTGCCTTAAATGTGGTGACCCCAACCACATTGTTCCCTTCTGCCCAAATTATAAACAACCAAAAGGGAACAACCAGTAGGGGTTTCAGTTGCCTCTACAAGAACTTAAGATGCAAGCAGACTAACATCCTCCCATCCGAAGGTTTCCGTGGCAGAAACTGAAGAGATAAACGATCCCCACCTGGTCAGTTGTCCAGAGGTAGTAAGTGTATGTACCTCTCTAGGTGGATCCCTCGCAGGCATAGGCGATGAGTTGGCCACTCATCGCAAAGCCTGAGTCTAAATGAAAAAACGAAAAGGGAAGCTAATTACTGCAGATCTAGAAGTCAATAAGGTAAGAGTAGGCGGTATGATTGACAGTGGGTTAACACGCAACTATATTAGTAAGAAAGGATTGCAAAAGTTGCAACTCGCGCTAAAGGTGAAACAGTTGGATGAGCCCGTAGTAAGTAAATTAGCGAACAGTAGTGAGATTGCTTTGGATAGATATGTTGAGGGGATTCAGACATACGTTCGGCTCGAGGCAGAGGAGAAGGTCGAACGCATTCTCCACTCTCAGACTCTCTTGGTGGAAGATAGTCTCCCTTTTGACATTCTATTAGGCACAAATTGGGGGGAAGTTGCGGATGCGGATGTGAAGTTGAGGGACCACGAGTGTTGGCTCCCTAGTCCGCAAGGTGGAAAGAAGAAGAAAATCCGTCTGTTTCATGAATCTGGTAAGGAAAGCAGCTTAGCTCATTGTTGCATGAGTGCCCCCGCATTCGCCCGCCATGTAAAGAAATACAATCTGTATGATCAAGTATTTGTGGCATATGTGCGCCCAATTAAGGAAGGTGAAGATAAGGAAGAGGCAAAGTCCCCAGAAATTGAGAAAATTTTGAAAGAATTCACGGATGTGTGCTCGTAGAATGCAAAGCACCTCGCCCCCTTGTTCGTCCTCGAAAGGCCCCATCTCTAGGAAGGCCCGACAGTATTCTCGATACCTTAATGCTTCGTCAAAATTTAGCTTAGTTACGGCAGTCACCGCCTGCTCCACTCGTTCTATGCCTCCCATTCGTCTTAGCAGGAAGGGTGGTAGACTCATCCGTACGACCTCATTTGGCAACTCAAAAACCCCTGCAGAGACGACTTTTACCTCAGCCGTCACGTCATCTCACAAACTCAAACCCCTCCCGCCAGGTCGCTTGCCATGCCCCTTCAGACATTCGCGCGGGGTCATCCCGGAAGCCAAAGCAATCCCAAAGGTCCGCCATCCCTCTTCCGACAGGTGTAAGGATCCCGTCGCATGTACAAGCCCTGGGCGGTTCAAGTCTACGCTCCCGAACTCCCCTCTCGCCCGCCATTCCAACTTCACTACTAGGTACACAGTGTCTTCCACCTACTCTACCCCCACCCAGTCCATTACCGGATTGCCTACCGTATTTCTTGCCAGCAGGCTTATTTCGACCCTGCCCTCTGATATTCTTGGTGGCAGGATCCCACGAGGTCTATCCACCCAGAACGCCATTCGCTGGGCCATCTCGCAATATCTCCTTTCCTGCTTTCAGAGTCCGATCACTGCACCCACCGAGATTTCATGCCTTTCGTGTTTTAGTCTTTCAACCCTCCCTACTTATCATTCACTGGTTCTTGCCGCTATCCCCAACTCATACACGTTCAACTCTACCCCCCCCCCCCCATTTTCCAGTTGCTGTCACTTCCCCCTTGTTTCGATCCTTATGCACCCTCTACGGCCTAATGTACACACTCCCTTTCTTATGTTACACCTCACTTCACAAACACCCTCCATACTCAGGCCTTTTCGCGGTGTTCGATCCCTTGGCCTTATTCAGTCGAACCACACTACCTCAAATAGTTTAAAGACGTCGTCTACGTAGGAGGGTGCGGCCGCCGCCTCCCGGCTAATTATGGCGTCCCAAGACTCCGCCTCTACCTCTAGGCGGTCATACCTGCCTATTCTTAGGACGATGATGACTTCCCCGACTTTATCTCCGTAGAAGGGCTCATATTTCAATGAGAGCCTATAGAACTCCTCAGTCAGCCAGGCACACTCTATAATGTGCTCAAACCCCCCAAACCACTCGGCTATGAATTCCGGTACCCAATCCGTTATCCGTAGACTTGGAGGCTTGAGTTCCTTCCATCCTCCCATCACAACTCTGCTACTAACTTCGTCCCATCCCTCGTTGGCGAATAGCTTGCCTTCCTTTCGGGTTCGGGCCTCTGCATCCCCTAGAAGCCACATCGGGTCCTGTCCCATTGCTAACATGGTGCAAAACAGGTGCCATGCATCCTCGAAAATCGTTCCAACTGACTCTACCTTATCTTCTCCTATATCATCCCAACCTTCCTCTTCCCTTATCGGGTTCCAAATCCGCTCTATCCATACATATGACAAGTCCCGGGCAACCTCAAACCCAATCCAGTCGCACGTGGTCCCTGTCCATCCGTTCCCTGTTGGTATAGGCATTTCTATTCCTCCTCTAAGTCGCCGTGGTTCCCAGCCTTTGAAGGGGTATTCCATCATCCTTTCTTCTCTAGCCATCTTTCCCTTTCCTGCATAATACCAGGCCACCCATCCTTCCTAAGTTAAGTCACCCTACCCCTCTTAGAAGTCCCAGTCCTCTATCTCTTTATCTCCATCTTCATCACTGAAGTCGTCCTCCTCGTCGTACACCAGCTCCCTTACCCCATCTAGAAACGTCTCCCCTATTGCCACATTCCTGTAGACTATCCCCCAATGCACAGCGCCAGGGACAAAGATATTGTCTATGTTAAGGCAGTTTAGTATCTCGGCCAGCTCCTCCGCCCAGTTCCCCTCGAACGGCCCCATCTCTACTGATAATCGAAAAAAATCTTGCCTAGCGCATTGGTATAGCCCGAGGTTCGTCATGGACTGGCATATCCGTACTAGCCTGCTCAGGGTTCCGAAAACCGCATCCACTAGGAAGGAGGGCAGCACACATCGCATGGTTCTTACGGGCCGCCTCATGCTTACTCTATCCCCAAGTTCCACCCGTACGTCTACCTTTTCCATTTCCATTTCCTTCCTTTGACATGCAGCCCACACAACCTCTGCTTCTGCCTTCCTAAACAACTCGTCCGGCGTATTCCCGGGTGCCAACTCTATGATCATAGCTTTCTCTCCATCTTGCGACAAGTAGACCCACCCCCGAGCTTCCACTGTCCCTCGGAATTCCAAATCCATTAAACTTGGTGACAACCTCGTCAAGTTGACATTGGTCCATATTGTTTCTATCCAAAGGAAAACATCCTCTCCTTCCAGCATTACCGTTTGATACGCTGGTTCAAGGTCCGTCCGCGTTCCATTTTCCGGGAGGACGACCGATACCCCATCCTTTACATCTACTGGCATTTCCGGGCCGCTAGTATAGATCGGGGAAGGCAAGCATCGCGCCATCTTGGTTTCAGCACCCGACCCCTGTTTTCATAAAAAGGCACCAACCGATCCTTTTGGTCAGGTCAACCCTTGTCCTAGATGATAATTATTTCAGACCCCTCATCAAGGTCTCCCTATTTTACCTCCCCTTTCCTAAGTACCCCCTTCCTATAATTCCCTCGGCCGGCCATCCATTTGCCCACATTCTTTCTCTTAGTTCCATTCCAATTGACCTCTATCCTCCTTCCTTCCGATCATCTCTCACTCGTGCGCACTTAGATGGGGGGGGGGGATAGACTTAGAAATATGGTCCATCCAGCAGTCCGAACTCAATCAATTTTTACAGAGGGGGAACACATAAAAAAATCAGGCAACCTCACACACGGGCCGGTCATCTCCTCACCGACCATCCCCACTATGGTCTCTCCGCTGGTACTATCGGTAGAGTTTTATCCCGTACCTCAAGCGCAGCTCAACCGTCGCGAGCGCGGTACCCAGGTCTCGGCAAGACATTCGCCCTTTCCTCCTTACCCTGAATACCCCATCCCGTCTTGCCGCTTTGCACATCCATACCGACACCGAGGGTTACCTCGAGTGCCTAAATACAGGGACAAAGTCAGCCGTCCGGGCATTCACTTCCATCGGTCCGACAAGAATCAGCCTTTCCCAAAACCATGCTACGAGAGGCTACTAATCGCCTCCGAGGCTCCGTCTTTGTCCGCATGCAGTGGTACTCCCTCCGCCAGCCAACAGGCTAAGCCCCGCCTGAGGAGATTTCACACCCCGTCCAGCAGATCATCGAGCCGAAGCCCGTCACCGCTCGAACAAGAATGCTACTAATCAACCGACGTGACAAACTCCCGTCCGACAGCTCCGTGGCCTGACCTCCACATACGAACACACGGCAGCCTACAAAAGAGAACGACGTTTCGCAACCCGCACTGGCCGGTGCAGACCAATCCTTTCCTTCCGAAAGGCAGGACGCTCGAATCCCATCATGCAAACACAAGTCCCAAGTGGGACACACATAGTACAAGTGCCATCCCCTTGGTGCACCCAACGCTTCCTACCCATAACTCACAAATTTTCTCTCAGGACAATGAGTGTCACTCCCCCTACTTTCATACATAGTGGTTGGTTCCTTCTCGTGAGAATCTTCAAGGGTGAGTTAGTTTTCCTTGGATTCTAGCAACTCCCTTCATTTCCCTTCTCTTCACTTGTCTATCCTTTCATAGGGTAGGATTGTTCTTTCTTGATGACCCGTTGTGTTCATATTGGTTCCTTCAATCATTAAAAAAAAGTGCAAAGTGCATGAGCCCGCTGGGCTCAAAGAAGAAGGGGAAAACACCCATTCGGTCGGATCACTCCGCCATGGGATTTTCATTGGAACCTGGCCTAAGCCAAGCACCAACCGCCTGCCTGGTAACTGGAGCCCTTCTTTTATACAAAGAGGAAGGGTCGGCCTGCGACTTGCCCAAGGCTTCCCCGGACTGGCGAACACCAGTTGTTACATGCTGAAAGCCTACACACGGGCCTCTCACGAAACCCGAGGTTGGAATAGGGGCCCCAGGTCGCGTCACCGCAACCTGAAGGCCCTATGACATTCTTACTTGGGCCTGCATCAGAAAAACACCATCTTTAGATTATTTTATATTCTTTTATTTATTTGCTGCTGTTTTTCTAATGGTTGTACTGTTGTCCGTTTTGTGGCCAGGTACACGTTTTAGGACCAGGGCCAGATTCAGGCCCAGAGGCTGAGCTCCTAAAAACGTTTGGACCTTTTCTTTTCTTTTCGAACAGATTGCTACCTGTTCGGACCCAGGCCGACGTTGAGGCCGGATGCGTCCGCACAGGACCGGTTCGAAGCCAGGTACCAGGAAACTGAATCCTAGACAGGGCCTGGACGTCCGGTAGGGTCCTAAGCAGGCCGTTTTAGGCCAAGGGCTGAACCAGTTTCAAAGCCTGCGATCTGGACCGTGGATCGGATTTCGATCTGCACGGCCCAGAACGCAGGCCGTGGGTTTTCAGTCCTGGCCCAGCGCTACATAAGCTGGGTCGTTGCCCAGTTCGTGGACAGAAGGTACCAGGAGAAATCCAGCGTTATGCTGGTTCAAGAACTTGGCTGCTGCGCTATTTTGGAGACTCTCTGCTGCGCTACTTCGAGAATGCAGTTGCGCTGCTCATCGGCAATGAGGCACAACGCTGAGAGTAGTGGAGTTAGTGAGAGAGAGAGAGAGAGAGAGAGAGAGAGAGAGAGAGAGAGAGAGAGAGAGAGAGAGAGAGAGAGAGAGAGAGAGAGAGAGAGAAGA